CCGTGATACGGTGTTCCCCCTCCGTGATACGGTGTTCCCCCTCCGTGTTACGGTGTTCCCCCTCCGTGATACGGTGTTCCCCCTCTGTGTTACAGTGTTCCCCCTCCGTGATACGGTGTTCCCCCTCTGTGTTACAGTGTTCCCCCTCTGTGTTACTTATTATTCAGTCTGACTGGATGAATGGAAATAAAGAAAACATTTGAACAACATGCCGATGAGTTTATATTGTGGCTGCAGTTCACAGCTTCACAGGTAACTCATGAAGTCGGCTGCAGTGGTAAATGTTCTTACAGTTCTTTCTGACACTGGACTCGGGTTGTGAAGCCTTTTCTCTCATTCTTCATATCAGCGCTTTGATCACTTAACATGTGCACAACAAACCATGAGTGACTGGAAGAGACCTTTTGAAAGTGTTATCTCCATTTGTACAATTAATGGCGTTGCGACTGACATACAGCTGTGTGTGTGAGGCCTTGTTGTCAATTGTTCCCTTTCTGCATCGGAATTTCCGTTTGGACCTGGGTTGCAGGGAATCTAAAGGTGTGTTTATACTGGTGTTCAGACGTAGTCGTCCATCTCATGCCCGTCTGTTGAGAGAGATACACTGCTATTTGAATCAATCAAGCTGACTACCCAGGCTGCGTAACAGCTGCTATATAGACCAGTGGGTCTGTCTTCTCTGTCAGCCTTCCCTTCATCCACAGCGAGTGCTCTACCTGGTGCTAACATGTTTACTTCCACCAGATGCAACCAAAGCTCTCAGCTGAAAGAACACTTGCCTCTGAAGCGCTCCTAGCTGGGCATTTTCAGAAGAGCGGAAGGCGTTTTTAGCTGGAAAAAATGCCTCGGTGGAAACATGACTTTGTGCAACAATGTGACAACTGTGATACGGATTCATTTTCAAATCCTTAACCTTGGATGTTAAAAAGCATCCCTCCGTCTCACTCCCTACCCTTCCAGTAGCTCTCAGTCTCATTGACCCCTCTACAGGATAAACAGATAGTACAACTTCCAAAAACAAGCTTTTTAAAAGAAGTTCAGCTTTTCTGATAAGAAACGAAACATACATAAAGAGACCTGTGCAACAAACACTCCTCCTCAAACTACTACCCACTGTCCTGACTGTGGGGAGGACTTGCTTACAGGTCAAGTAGTTTTAAGAAATCAGTTGACACTTGAGTTTGTCAAATCTTCCCTGGTTCCTCTTCAATGATGGACCTGGTACTGCTCTCTGATAATGCACAGCTGGAGACTGATTTGGAATCCAGAAAAAGTATCAAGACTATAACGAACATTTCTTGAGTTGCTCAGGTAAATTTAATTGAAAACAGAGATAATTTGTAAAATTTGTATGCCTTCACCATTTCACAATCTTATGCAGACATGTTTGGAGAACAATGTGACTCCATATAATTGTTGTTTTGGTCAGGGACATATCAGTATGGAAAGATCTAACATGTGCTAAAGATACAGTTCATTTGCCTTCCTTTCTGTCTAGAAGTGGCCCATCAGTGTGGAGTCAGTTAGCTGGGCTGTCGTCCTCTTAGTCTCAGTCTCCATGTGGGCATGTAACAGTAGTATCAAAGTAGTCCTGTTGTAAAGGCAGGAAGCCGTGGAGCATGCTCTGTGCAGGCGGGCTACATTTGGGCTTTACAGGACACCAGTGTGGATGTCGAGGCCGGCGTCGCTCACGTGTCACTGCTCACCAGGGTGAATGTCTGTGCTGCAGGGAGGAGAAGAAAGTCATCATTTTTCTTTTCTCTTTTCTATTGGTGCAAAATGAAAACAGTGTGATGGTGTGATGGAAGCAGAGATCAAATACACTAAAGATCACACTCCATACACTTGGAAAGTAGATTTGTATGCTGGTTTCAAAGCCGAGGTATGAGGGGATAAAGGAACTTAGTGTTTCATACAGTATAAACACTGAATGTCTCTCTTCCCAGATTCCATTTTCATTCCATGAGTTGCAGTTTCATTGTTTACCCACTGGAGGCTGCTGTCCGTTTGTAGACTTGTTCTCAGACACAGGAGGAGACAGAACCTAAGTTTTTTTATTTTGGATTTCAATCTGCACACAACACAAATTGAGATGAGCAGGGCCGCACTACACACCTGTACAGCCTGAAGGAGGACTCATTGGGATCAGGTGGAGTGAAGGTAGTCTATGGAGTCATGTGGTAAAGTCATTGCTGTACCATGTGTGTGAATAAACGCTCTCATGTAACTTCAGCAGCGCCAAAATGAAGAGAAAAGTTTATGATTTTATAGATGCTTGTCATTCCACAGTCTCGTGCAGAGGTGTCAAACTCATCTTCACTCTGGGCCACATCAGCATCATGTTTCCCTCAAAGGGCCGGTTGTAAATGTAAGACTGTGTAAATGTAACTACTCCTGACATATTGTTAAATAACTGTCTCTGCTTTTGATTATTGTTTATTCAAGTGTAAAAATATTGTACATGTAGTTATATAAATGTAAAAATATATTTAAGCACATTTCTGTTATTATAACATAAATCATTTTAATTCAGGGTTCAGAAACCCACATTACTCTATCAAAGATCAAACGTTTAAAGAAAATAACAAAGACAAATATCAATACAATAACTTTGTTCAAAGCTATTTTTGTCACCTCTCTGCATCACTAATGTCCCCGTCGTTGTCCTGTGCATGGCAGCTACAGCCAAGAGCTCCTCACTGAGAGTCAGGTCTGCCTTCAGCCTCTGATGAACACTGATGTATGATGTGTGATGTGTCCGTGTTGTCTGTGCTTTCATCAACAGCTATGAAGAAGACGAGTACCTGCTCGTCTCTTAGCTAGCTGTGTTGTTAGATTGCTGCTAGTTCCTGAACTCGGTCTGCGATGGTGTTCCTTCTTCTGGTCGGAGCTCACCTGCTCACATACCTTTAGCGTGCACTGGGCTGTAGTTTCTGTAAATATATTCTGCTGTGATTGCAGTCTGCCTTTTAATTCTTGGACAATTTGATGTTTTTCTTGGAGGCTAAATTTAGCTCCGTGTTTGGTGTCAAAATGCGGCAAATTCGCAGGCCACATAAAATGACGTGGCGGGCCGGATTCGGCCCGTGGGCCTTGAGTTTGACGTGTCTGGTCTCGTGGCTCTCAGTCTGTCTGTGGTTTATTGGTGCATACTCATCTTGCAGTAAGTCTGGGCCTTAACTCACTCAGTCAAGAAGTTGAAAATGATTGTATTTATTTCATTATGTATTCATTTTTAGTCAGATCTAAGGACATTGAGTCTAAATATGTTAGTATCAATATACATAAATAAAGACTAGCAGGTGCAGTATTTATGAATACTGATGTTTTAAGCAGAAGCACACCAACATAGATTCAGACCAGCCACCGGCCAAACTCTATACAACTTTCAAAGAATTTAACAATATATTAATTTAACTGACCAATGTTTTGACTGTAGATAAATAACTGCTACATTATGGTATAAATCTTGGGTGGCCCGCTATTATAAAAAAATGAACTAGAATATGACTTGAGCATATTTCTTACAAATGATAAAGAAATGCTTTTTGTAATTTGTGGGTTCACCAATAAATGACTGTAATGTCTAATGTACAGGTTGGTAGTGTTGCGTTATGGCACACATGGTGTTCTGGTCTACAAACAGATTTTCTTGCAGTGTATCTGGTAAAACTACGCATTCTAACATTTATATATATTATTTTTGTAGGAAATATATTTTTGTATTTTGTCCTGAACAGACACATGAAACAGAAAACCCCACATGTGTGATGACAGGATGATAACTCTTCTTCATGTCACTATCCCAGAACTATTGTGCAACATATGATCACTATCACCTAAATCTTTGTGGCTCTGTAATGTGTTTTGGCAGACCATATGCCATACATTATATATAATGTCAGAGCGTCTTTAGAGGTGCAGAATTCGAGATTGGGAGCATTTCAACATGGCGGCCCGTAGCTAGCTAATGGTGCTCACAGCACTAACAGTGGTTACCTGAGAGGGAACCGGGAACTAAAAGCATGCACTGCATCCCGTCTGTGTCAACAAAGCAAGCAGAAAGAAGCTCATATGACAACACACACTGGACGACTGTGGAGTGGTTCGTCCCTCTATCAGAAGATCGGCGACTCCTCTAGTCCGTGTCCATGTGTCTTTGGGCAAGACACTTAACCCCAAACTGCTCCCAAAGGCTGTGCCATCTGTGTATGAATGCTTGTGAAAAATGACATAGTCCTGATGGGCAGGTGGCACCTAGCATGTTAGCCCTGTCATCAGTGTGTGAATGGGTCTGAATGGGTGAATGATGACATGTAGTGTTAAAGAGCTTTGAGTGGTCGGATGACTAGAAACGCTTTACAAGTACAGTCCATCTACACAGGTGTGAATGTCTGCTCAGGTAGACATTACACTAAATAAAGCTTGGAAGGTCACATGTGATGGAGGCAGGTTTCACTTACCAGCCAACATGTTGTTGTTGTTGGGTTTCTTTTCGTCTGCTGTCAGCTGGTTGGAAGAATCCAATCTCTTCTCCAGCTTCTCCTCTCTGGTGGTGTGCTGCGTCACGTCCGGTTCCTCGTCCCTTGGCTCTGGGCTCGGCGTTTCAGGCTCAGGAGTCTGGAAGCTACAATCAGCAGAAGCAGAACAGGTCACACTCTGCAAGGACGGCACAGACATTTTGAGAGGCTGCTACTCGACGCTGTTGGGGTTATAGAAAACATGAGATAGCATAGATGTCAATATGATTGGAGTAGTATTTTGACATGTTTGTTTTATAGACATGTCTAATATTAGGACCTTGCATTAACCTTCATAAATGAAGGTTGATCATTCACATGGATCAATGACCCAACACAGTGGCCTGATGTTGCTCATCTGGATATCTATACATATTAGATTGAATCACCAGGTATCATGTCTGTAAATAAGCCAACTGTTTGATCCAGGCTTGGCTGAGATGTAGTTGGAGAACACAGTCCGATGCTGCTGTACAGTATGACTGTACTGAGTGCCTCCCACTCAAGCTATCTATCATCAGTGGTAACTGCTACCAGCATTATTCAGCCTGACAGTGAGTATTCACTCTGGATCTGTGTGTCCTGATGTGACAGCGCGATACTTTCCCCCATAGGGGGTGGATGACACTGATGATGTCTACACTGACGCCAATCAATCAACTTGCTGTGCTAACATCATACTATGTGTTCCGCATTCGGCTACGTTCAGAGGACCGTGACGGTGCTGCAAGAATAAACACACTGGTACAGCCCCACCCATCTACACCTATGGGTGACCTCAATAACGGATGAGGGTCCTGAGACGTTTGGGACGTAATAGCTTCATGAGATTTGAAGGGATCTTAGACCATGCACACACACACACACACACACCTGTTTTCAGTGGTGGTGTTTGTTGGCGAGCTGGTCAGATCTTGCTCTCTGCTTTCTTCGTCCTCAAAAGGCTGAAGGTTTACAGTCTCCACATGCTGCGGCTCTGTGCCCAGGTCCACAATCACCACCCTCTGGCTCTCACACAGCTGAAACACACAAACACGTCTGAATTAGAAAGTGCAGAGTTTGGCAGGCTTTGCATGGCTGCGATGTGCTGGGAATCACATACAGAGAGTAGTATTGGTACCAGGAGTTACTCTGATGTGTACATGCTACATGTCATGACATGCTATTGTTTTTAACTTGAAACACAAAAAGAAATAATGATTACTACAAGAAATGTAAATGAATATTGATAAACATTGAAATCTGTCTGTATATTTGATGACAACAGAGGTCAGTTAGTGGAGGAGTAAATAAATAAATGAAGTGAGAACAAAAAATACATGATGACAAAATAAAACAACAACTAAATAAAGATGTTAAAACAACAACTGTTGAATAAGTCATTAGATTAGATAATACATCTCTGGTGCTGTGTACAGGGCTCCATGGCTGCAGGAGCTGTTGATGTCTATGGTGTCCGGGTTCCCTGTTCTGTTGTGTTTGTTCCTTTTAAAATGTCCAGCACAAACATTGCTGCATCTGTTAGTACTTTCATCAACAGCTCCATGGTGAATGTACTGTTTAGAGATGGCTTCGGCACTCAGTAAAGACTTGATAGAGACAAGCAAAGTAGAGGTAAAGGACATGCTTTTATATCACACACATCGTGACATGGAGCTTCTGTCTCTGTCACTCCATCCATTTTATTTACCAAGATCCACCTGGATCATCAGCTGATGATGTGGATCATGGACTTCCTGACCCTAAGAACACGGAGGGTGCTGGTGCCACTGGCTCCGCCCAGGGCTGTGTCCTCTCCCCCCTGATCTCATCCTGAGTGGAGATTGTTCTCATCTCCTTGCTCTCTGGCCCTGCCCACGATCACTGGCCTGTCCTTGGTGAGTTTGTGGAATGGTGTGACAGCTGAATGTCACCAAGACCAAGGAGATGTGTGTGGACTTCAGCGAGCATGGCGTGGTGAGGATTGCAGCCCTGGTTCATGGGGAGCCAGTGGAAGCTGTAGACTAGTACAGATATCTGGGACTGTCATTGATAACAAACTGTGTTTTGAAGCTAACACAGAGGTGATCATCAAGAAGCACCAACAGCATCAGTATTTCCTGAGGAAGCTAAACGTCTTTGGGATATGCAGGAATATCCTCCCTACATTGTGCAACTGCCTCAAAGAAAGCACATTCAACGCTATCACCATCAAAACCAAGAAGGGCCTCCAGAGTATAGTGACCGCCTGCTCCAAAACCATAGGCCACCCTCTCCGAAAAAGCCCACTACATCCTACAAGATGCATCCCACTGGAGAGGAGCCCAGACGCAGCTATCAGTGCTGGCTGAATCCTGGAGATGAAGCCCTTAAAGCCAATCTGGCTGTTTCCACATGTCCCAGATGACAGTTAGAGAAGATACTGACACAACAGCAGATAACCGGCTGTGTGGCAGAATTCTAGCAAAGAGAGCTGTGTACGGTGAAGCTGGGTGCCCCTGCAGCCTCCAGCAGACTGCACTGGGGACACACAGCCCATGTGCATGTATCTCCTATATGTATTCATTTCAAATGATTGATATGCGTAGTATCTGTTTATTGTTCATGAGCTGTCATATATCTATTGGATGCTGCCCTTAACTAATATTTGTCTCTCTTATTTCGTCGTTAGGTTCTAGAGAAGACAAACCTACTTTACTGCCAGAACAATGAGATTGAGAACATTCCACTTGGTTGCCATAGCAGCAGCAGCAGTAACCCCAAACCGCCCCTAGAAACCATTAACATGTTTGATCCCGAACCACTTACTCTAACATTACACTACACTTATCATAAAAGATATTGTTTGCAGTGCCATCACTGAAAGACCTTTGTTAAAGCCCTTACAATGGTTTAACTCTCCAGAAGACTTTGGTCTTTTCAAGGGATTTATTGATAATAAATAAAGATAAAGAATAACACCAGACTTATCCTTTAACAGCTTGTCAATGAATTTAACCTTTACCTTTCAAGGGAAAGCAAAAGTAAGAATGAATAGAAGCTGTAAGAGGAAGTGATTGACTTCGGACCAGCCCATCGGTGCACCTGTGCAGCCTTGTCTTCAGTACCTCGGTGTCTCTGCTGCTGGCCTCGGCCTGTGGCTCCTTCACACTCGGCAGGGTCACGTCCCCGTCCTGCTGCACTCCCTCACACTCATTGTTCACCTCCTCCACTCTCTGCACCTTTTGGAGATTGAAACAGAATCTTGTCATGATCTGTTTGTACAGTCATTATGAGAAACGTGCACCTTATTCATCATTATATAACCAACCCGTTATCTGATCCCTATTGTAACAAGGATGAAAACAAAAGCCAACGTTTGCACTTAATACAAGTTAACCAAAATCCAAATGCTCTTTTGTTTCGTTTTAGTATTTTTCTTTAAAGTTTGTGTGGCACAATAAGTCATGTGTAGTTCAGTAAGTACAATCATGTATTGTGTGTAATGTAAGGTAAGAGAGTTTATTATGTTTCCTGTGTGTTTATGAGGAGGAAGTGTTCATTGTAGTTGAAATTTAGGGCACAGCGTTATTTATCAGCAGCTACATTTGTAGGCAGTAGATCCAGTGGATCCCAGTAGGTGTCAGTGTTGCGACATGAGCAGAGTCTGTGACTAGAGCCACAGGCAAGTCTCGCGTGAATACGTGAGAGGATGAGAATCTCTGAACAGGATGGAAGCAGAGAGCGCTGTGGAGCGACTGCATACCTAAATGCATATCTTAGTATTTTGCAGAACATTTTCATTAAATGTGTAGCACCAGATTAAGCCTGCGTGACATCATTCAGTGCACCGCTACATTTGCATTTGTTTTTGAACTGGTTGCCAGGACAGCGTGAAGTTTACAGCTAGTGAAAACAAAGATCTGATGAACCTGAGGTGCACGTTCTGTGTGAGTCCCTCCAGCCTCAGCAGCCGTCCTGCTCTGCTCCATGTGAGCCACCTTCAGCTGCTGCAGAGCTGCCTCCAGCTCCACAGGGTCTGCACAGGCCCCCTCTGCCTGGACCCGGCTCTGCACACACACACACACACATACACATGCACACACACACACACAGAAATATTTGACAGAAAGGATAAGGTAAGCACCAGAGCTGAAACAGTGTGTGTGTGTGTGTGTGTGTGTGTGTGTGTGTGTGTGTGTGTGTGTGTGTGTGTGTGTGTGTGTGACATCACCTGCTGGATAATCAAAGGGTTGTCTTTGCTGAAGGATGGCGAGCGGGATGGGGTTTCTCTCTTCTTCTCTCGGAGCGAGGAGGCCTGCTGGTTTCTCCTCATCCTCTCCAACTGCTCCTCCACACTCATCCTCGTTCTGCCCATCTCTCTCTCCCCAAACCCTGTCTGATCCACTGCACTTCTGGGTCGGTCCTGTACAGGACAAGACTCAGTGTTACTTTCTTTTTCTGCGCAGAGACCATGACCATGGCAGCAGTGCTGGTATGTATGGGCTTTGTTTGTCTGGTTTTTGTCATGATTGCAAGTAGGTTTTCCACAGATGCATCAGTACAATGATAATTAACATAATCAGCACTCTGTTACTCTGAGATTATCTTTTGAACAGAAATACTGCTTTCACTAATTCATTTTAATTACAGATTCTTTGATTAGTATCGGCTGCTGCCAATAAATGATTGTGTCTTCTCTTCCCTGCTCCAGTTAAGTTTTGTATTTATTGTTTTCAGCCTTATGCTTTCATCTGTTTCTATGGTTGAATGCTGCATGTTGTTAGTTCATGTGTTCATTACTGGAGATATTTAAGATTTCAACAGCTGCAGCACGATCAGGTCAACTGGAGACAAAACCTCAACCACAACAACTGGGATTGGAGTGATATATCAACAGAAGAAAACAAGATAAAGAAGCCCGTATGTTTCACTGCTAAATCAACCCAGAACACCAGAGAGAGATTTAAACAACAACGTTCAGCACTGAGATGTGAAGAAAGGATTGAAGCTCGGACTCCGATAGAGCCGCATGTCATTGTAAATGCAGATGTGTATCTCCTTCTTGGTAGGGCAGATTACAGATCTAAAGAGCTCTGACTCAAAGGAATGTTCTCCCACACAAACATTCTATAAAACTATATCAAACTTGTATCTAAAGATGTTTTTGTCTCTGTTGATGCCGAGGGCAAAACCTACAGATCTGGATTCAGGCTTCTTGGTCTTCCTCAGGGTGACGTAGGAGAGAACGGTGGAGGACTCTGGGGGACTCATGGGAGATTTGGTCCTGGGAGGAATGATGCCCACTGGGTAGAGGGGCGCTGTGGAGAGATGGCAGGGAACAGGGTCACTTCACCATTAGCAGACAAACACTGCGGTCAGGCTAGTTGCTCATGTTGTAGCAGAATATTCAACATGGTTCATTTCACATGTTGTTAACAGACAGAGGAGACATTCATTGCTGTGTTTGAATGCAACAACAGAAGAAAGGATCAACCTTATTTTATAAGAAATATTATTATTATTATAATATGCATACATACACACAACACATACATATACATCTATAAAACTAGACAATGTGTACTGTCAACTCAGACATCCCAAATGTCACACGTGCTTAGAGAAATGCATCTCGTGTCTGCTCTCTAACAGAATTCAAACGGCACGTCTTCAATGTTTAATACTCTCAGTGATACAGTCGAGGGATACCTGGAGTCCAAATGAGACGTTTGAGATGCTCAGAATCCTACCATGCAACAGCTGTGACTGCACTACTTTTAGATTCCAGTATTGTTCAGCCGGGTCTTGTTCCCCAATTGTTGCCCTTCTGACTTTGGATGATGGACTTGTGTTAAGAAACCTCCAGAGGTTCAGGAAACATGGACTCTAGCAAAACAACAGATTCTGGTTCAAGCTCTCTGAGCCACAATAAGTCTGTTTTTCCAACGCTTGTCTGGGTCAGAGTTACCCGAGGGAGGAGCAATCAACAAGAACTTGTTGATTTCAAAGAAAAAAGTGCAAAACTGTGTTTGTTCATAATTAGTGTTTGACTTTCTCTATAAATCGAGCTTTTTCATCAAAGAGCCAACAAACCCAGTTGTGGGCTTCAGTAAGGAGCAGGAGACTTCCTCTGTGTGATCTTTAATGTTCTGTTTTAAGTCTCCTGGGCTTTTTGAACCATGCATACATTTTAGTTTCTCATACCACAGTGATGCCCATCTCATCACTGGACTGGAGACCAGAGAAGATGTTGCTCCTGAGCTTTAGCTCCAGTGTTTGAACAGTGAGTTAGTTCTGACCAAATAATTACACTTGAAGTGGCATTCCATAAGTGCTGTAACTACATCAAGAGTACAACAACTAGGACTTTGAACTCCATGTATCCCTCTCCTTCAGTGGCGTAAGGCAGCTATAGAGGGCCTCAGTGCACACTAGCTACTAGTTATGAAGCACACACAGACACCACTGGGCGTATGAAATGTGTTGGATTTTACAGTCCAATGAGTTATTAAGGCTAAAACTCTCGCCTCGCTACGGGACCCAATGCATTCGCACTGCCTGCACTTTATAGCCCTGCTCAGCTTTACAGGCACTAGAATAACCGCTAACTTCATTAACCGTGAGCCGATCTATGACGATGGGAAGGAGCCGGGATACTGACGTAACAGCTGCGACAGACACAAGGGTTTGGTCTCAGCATTGGTAGGGACACTGCCAGCCCGCCCCCCCCCCCACCATCCAAAAAAAGTGTTAGTTGATATCAGGGGCGTTTCTAGGATTCAAAGAAAAAGAAAAGAAGAATTTTTGGGGCCCATTTGGGGCCGCGGATATTCATTGTTTCAGACAGTTCATAGATTGGTTCAATCAGAAAGAGTGTGATAGTTTTGCTTGCATTCAGTATATGATAACACAAGACACAGAATTTCAGGGTCATAGTGAAATTTTACAACACAAATATGAACTTTTCTCAAATAAAGAATATCCGCGTCACTCCCAAATACTAATTCTTAAAGGGACCGCACACAATGGATGGAGAATGGACCTGACAGTGTCAACTTCATATCGTTAAGTATGATGATAGGCTGTTGGATTGTAATTTGAAGGGGGAGAAAACATACAAACCAGAACGCACGCACATATGTAGCATGTTAGAGTTATAAATAACTTGTCCATGAGAGAAACAATAGTTTAATTTAATGACATCACCAAAATAAATTTTTTATTTTTTTTTAAAGCCAATAATGCCAAATTATTTGGGGGGGCTGAAGAACATTTGGGGGGGCTCTCTTCATCACTACGATGCTGTAACTCAGAGGTGATGATGGTTACCC